TGACTCTGTCCAACACACAGTCTGAAGGTCTGACTCTGTCCAACACACAGTCTGTAGGTCTGACTCTGTCCAAGCCTCAGTCTGGACTACATTTCTGGACATGGTCTAAAAACTACATTTGACATTTGTTTTTTTCCTGTTGAACTAAATGGATGCAGAATTACCGAAGAATATTTAAAACTGTCAGTTTGAGGAAATACATCTGCCTCAGCCCGACTGCTGCCAGAACAACTTCTGTGTTCAGTTCGTCACCCATGCAGGCAGCAACAGACTCTCAGAGTTTCACTTCTCTTTTTGGTAAATTTAGGTGTTTCACACACGTTTCAGTTTGAGGTCAGTGTTTGTTCTGAAGCTGGGAACTAAAACATGACAACCAGAGTGAGACCCTTTAAAGCTGAAGACACTCACTGTCTTTCTGCTCCATGCTGCTAGGAAGTTCTCCAGGATCCTGGGAAACACCAACATACCAGTAAGACATTCCAACTGGAGATGGTGTTCGGGATCACCACAGCTGGAGAACAGGTCCTCTGAAGAGAGGGGCAGAATGACCTGCACAGGAAATAAAGCAAAAATAATTAAGAACCAGATCCCACAAAAACACAACCAACTCAAGACGCCAGATACATCCCAGATAAAACACATCAATCACCATCAACAACTCAAAACCTAACCATAAATGTTCAATGCCGCAGCTTACACAAGCGTTTCAAATTGGTTAAAAACCTGAGGAGATTGACATCACTTAAAAATTATTTTTAAATTATTTCTAATAACATTTTAACAATAACTGTTTTAGGTGATAAACCAGCACGTAAGGTTCTACAAGGCCGTGTCTTTGGCCCACTGATGTTCAACGACGACTGAGTTTGAGGTTCTACAAGGACGTGTGTTCGGTCCACAGTTGTTCACCAACGACTGAGTGTAAGTCCTAACTCAATGGTCTACCTGCTATAACACAATTGCAGATTATCAGGAACAGGAACGTCTCTAAGAAACAAGAGTCACTGAGGCTGTTTTTCTTTTGTTGCTGGAAAACCAAAACAAGTAGTAACAGTACAACATCAATATTCCAAATAATATAATTATCCCAAATTTCAGATCCAACAGTCTCAGTGGCCTTGATGCCCACTCCTGGTTTAGATGATGCTGGTGACAGAAGAGAATGTTTGATCGAATACAATCATCCCAACATTAAACAATAATTATGAAAATCACAAGTTTTTCTAATAAGGTTTGGATTAATTCAAACAGGACGCTGAAAACCCTCCACTGGATTCTCTTTTTACTCGTAACCTTTTTTAAATCAATGTTTTAGTCAGATTTGTGCTATAGACTACTTGAGGGCAAATTGACCACATTTCTTAAAATGAAATGTTAAAATTGAATAGTTTTCGTTTTATACTATTTCTATCTTAACATGTGATTCTCAACCTGCCATTGTGTATCTGTTCCTCTTTCCTGTCCTCTTAAACCCAGACGGTCGAAGCAGACGGCCACTTGTCCTGAGCCTGGTTCTGCTAACGGTTTCTTCCTCATGAGGGAGTTTTTCCTTTCCACTGTCGCCTTCATGCTTTTCAACCTTTATTTAGACAGGTAAATCCCATTGAGCCTCGAGGACTCATTTACAAAAAAAAATGCTTGCTCAAGATGAGTTTGCAATAAAGTTCACCTCAAAGCAGTCTGCTCCTCAGATAAATAATGTTATTACTTTTTATGTATATGAATGTTTCTGTTCAGTGCCCTGACATGACTTCTGTTGTGACTTGGTGCTATATAAATAAACTGAATTGAATTAGATTATAGTTTACTGCAGTCAGATTCTACTTAAGACTTTTTTATATATATATATTTGAATAGATTTACCGTAAAAAATGTACCACAGGAAATAAACAATTATTTTTATTATCATTAAGGTTCTGATGACTGGGAGCCTGTGAGAGTACAGGACCGGGATTAGAGCAAAAACAAGTCATCTGACCTTTGACCTCAACACCTAAAAATTCTAAGAGGAGCTGAACACAGAACTGTACTGGTTCGGACTGGTGGTTCTGTAAGGACAGAGGCACAGACTGGGTCAGATTTTGAGGTTCTGTTACCCAAGCAGTTAAATTAATTTACTGATGAATTTAAAGTAAGAACTCCAGAATGTTCGGTTCAAACTAACCAGGTGTGCTTCAGTCCTGGATCTGGTCCTGGTGGGTCAGGAAGAAACCTTTCGAGGACCTGCTCCAGGAAACGTCTATTTTCCAAAGAAAAATAAAGAGAGAAACAAAAAGTCCCTGAAACCTCTGGAAGGAATACTTTGTAGCGCCAAAATAAACTCAGACAGAAAGGCAGAGTAAAAAATAAGCCTCAGACCGGCCCCCAAGTAAAAACAGACGTTCCTCATAGTTCCTGATGGAGACACACGTTTAATGGATTTATGTTTGGGTTTCTTTAAATTGTTCTACTGAGACTTGATTGAAAAGGAGAAATTAAAATTCTGTAAGCGTCATTATACCTGGTAAATCTGAGGAGTATTCCTAAAAATAGATCTACCAGTGTTTGACTGTTTGAACTTGTCCACCCTCCAAACATAAAATGTTTTCAACTATCTGGTCTAAATCTTACAAAGACCTTCCAGCTTTTATTTTATTTTATTTTTTTCAAATCGTCTCATTTCTACATTTGGTGTCCCTGCAGTCTGTGTGGACAGTGTCTGTGTCCCTGCAGTCTGTGTGGACAGTGTCTGTG